GTGCCGGCTACTTCGCGACGACCGTTATATAAAACTATATTGGAACAGAAGAAGACGCAAAAGCAACAACACACATACGCAAAAAGCAAATTGCGGAGGCCGCGACTTACACGCCCAATCGCGCAACCCGCAGCCCTTGGTTACGTTTATCGCGATCTGTGGGGTCCCCACAAGCAGGACCGTTCTTATTAAATGTTTGATGTTTTTGTCGTTTTTTCTTCTTACTAAAGGTTGTGTTGTATCGTTTCACAGGCGTGAAAATTCAGCAAAGCGTTAAATATTAAGTCCATAATCGTAGTGCTGTGGTTTGTAGAACCTTCGGTCCTACATATTTTTGTTATATCGCACAATCCATGACTTTCATAAAGCGTTGAATCTTGATTGGAGATGGGAATAAATTCGTTAATTAATTATTCCTCACTCAGATTACACGAAAGACGTTAAAACTACACATTTTTTTATTATTTGTACTATGTCATAAATGACATATTACATTCCCTTCCTTTCTTATTTCTTTTTTTTACAACTTCTCCACAACCTTTGCTCCGCTGTTAAAAAAAAAACAAAAAAAACAACAACACCGCATTGATATTGATGAACCCGAGAGTCAGTGACCTTGCCCACTCCCCCCCCCCCCCCCCCCCCCGCTCGAAAGTTTCGGGGGGGGGGGGGGCCGCGGCCCCTTCGGCCCCCCCTTGTGTACGCCACTGGCTGGAAGCGACCGTCGTTCTTGTAGGAGAACACGCGCATGCTCCGTAGTACCTCTTCCCTTGGTGGCAAAACATCGTAAGAAAGATTGCTCGCCAAAAGTTTAAATATAAAATATTGTAATTGCTTTCAAATCGCTGTCAATGCAAAAAGATTGCTGTGGATTTTTTTTTTTTTTTTTTGTGAAGACAGTCACACAGGGCAAAAAGCCTGCAACTCACAACACTGGAAAATAACATAATGTTAAAAATTTGTGTAGGACCATGTTGATAAAAGTAAGCGTTGACAGAAAACAAAAACGCAAAAAAGATTTAGTTTTTTTAATTTCATTTTACGCATTGAGTTCTGCCGTAGCTTTTTTTTTTTTTTTTTGCTTTCGACTTTGACACATTTAATAACATAATTGGCATAAAAAGTATCAGTGGGAGCGCGAATTTTTTTAGCCTAATGGACCTTTTCCACATACCGACCGCACCAAGCGGTGGCTGCAATAACTAAAAATCGAGGAAGTGACGTACCTGCGCTACCAATCGATACCGGAAGCTACGCTACCAGTTTCTTCGCTCTCTGAGCTGCGGCGCGTGCCCAACGCGAGCTTAAAGATGGGCATTCGTGGCGTCCACCCAATCGTGTTTTTCCTTCCGTCCACTTTCTTTTTTTTGTGTAACCCAATTATATATATGCTGCAATTACCTGTTCTACTCGCTTATCCACAGGCTCATTCCAAATTTCCTCGATTTTTCGTTCCGACTTCCGCCATTTGGCATCGGGTGCTCGCGCGTGCGCAGAACGCTTCTCGGAAAAGGTCCATTGTTGCGATACAATTTGCAGGTGTATAAACAGCACAAGATATTAAATATATTAACATAGCCTCGGTTCTTAATGTGCGTGTTCATAAATTCTCTCCCCCTTCCCGCATGTCCCGTATTTCACTAGCAGGAAGGTGGTGACCCTAAGAGGGGGAAGTGTGTTCAGAGATTGGATGTCTAAGCACGGCGCGCCTACGCGAGCAGGTGCACCCAGGCGGGATAGGGTGACCCATCCTGACGTCAGCGCTTCGAACCAATAGGGGCGTCGCACAGAGCAGGAGGCACTGCGACGCGGTGGGACGCCCTTGGGAGTGCGGGCGAGCTGAGTTGCCGCTGTGCTAGGGAGGGAGGCTCTAGTGAGGGTGGGCACAACAACTAGATCAGGGATCACGGGATATGGACGCCATTTAATCGCTAAATTTTGCTGGAAGTCTATGGGGCAACAGGTCGTTTTATTTCCTAACTCGGGTCATAAGAGCCCATTGATGTGCTTGGAATAATTTACGCAAGATATGAATGATTACTTTTCTATAGCCACCAGTCTCGTTCTGATAGGTTAAGTATTCGTTTAACGCGAAAAAATGGTAAATTCCGCCATCTTGGACGCTGCTGCTTGTCTGGCAACCCTGCTTTCTCCTCTCGATGTTCGCAATCCTCGGAGCGAGAAGGAAGCGAGAAAGGCTACGCCAAGGCGTTCGTTGCTTGCAATGGAAGGCGAGAGGAAGAAAGGCGCATGGAGCAACAGAGTTGCAACAGAGCGGGCGTCTGCTCTTGTGCAGGCAACATAGGCGAATATCCTTTCCCAATCCTCTCCCTCAAGCGCCGCCATTAAATCGCAAACGCACCCCAGGATTTGAGTTACGGCCACCCTCACTAGAGCCTCCCTACGCTGTGCCGTCGCCGGAAGAAATAATGCTCAAGCATTTCTTCTTTCTTGAACAAGGTACGTTTATACGTTGACATCTTAATTAACTTTATGCGCGCACTACCTAGCCGCACCTCTAGTAAATCCCAGCGTGATACGTTGCGAAACCGATTTTTACGCGAAAGTGAGATCGAAGCGTTAGTGTTCATGCTGTATATTTACCGACTGTGGCCTCAAAAATCTAATGCCTACATTGGGATGACAAGTGAACTGCACATTTGACATAAAATTAAACATAAAGAGATGCCCAGCTATAGGTAATCGAGGGGACTTCTAAATAATTTTGCTATTTTCTTTCCTCCAATCACGAGTAATTACCGCAGGTTGTCGAGGCTAGCAAGTTTAATTTTGAAAATTTTACTGGAGTGTAGATCATGATGCAAACATTCACAAAGTTTAACCTTCTCTTTAAATACATAAGACCCGCGCGTACACCATTTTGCTTCGAAAGTGTGCTTTTCTCCTAAGCAAGCGGCTGCGGTATTTGTGCTTTTCTAAATTTTGATCACGGCAGGTTAGCCCCGTTGAGTGCGCTTCTTTCTGAGCACCGCTGCACTGTGGAGAAGCAACACTCGCGAAGGCGAACTCCGCGCGTGTTGCTGCTCCGCAGTGCACAGGAGCTCGGCAAGAAATGCGCTCAACGGGGCTAACCTGCCTGCGGTGAGCACTTGGAAAGATACGAATATCGCAGTTCATCTTGAAGCGAATGTGGAACACCGTATTATTAGGGAGTTTTCGTAGACCGCGTTTCTCTCTCCGCTATGCCCACCGCAACGAAGAAGCCGCTACTGCGCCTGCGCGCCGATAGCCTTGGCTGTACAGTTCCGGGTATCGAAGCGGGTTGCGGAGAGCCGTTGCGGGACGGCGAAAACGATGTACGAAAACTCCCTATTAACGCGAAAGCATTAGGGAGTTTTCGTAGATCGTTTCCGCTGTCCCGCAACGCTCTCCGCAACCAGCTACGCTAGCCGGAACTCTGCACTCAAGGCCATCGGCGCGCCGGCGCAGTAGTGGCTGCTTCGTTGCGGAGGGCTTAGCGGGGGGGGGGGGGGGGGGGGGGGGGGGGGGGGACGCGGTCTACGGCGACGTCTGTAACCCCAAAAGAAAAAATGCGAAAGAAATGCCCATTCTCCCATTGGCTGAACAAAACGGCTCCTCGATAGCCATTGGCGGCCGCTTCACGAGAGCGTGCGGTCGGCCGCCGCTCCCGGTTCAGGCGTTGCCGGAGGGGGGAGGGGCTGCGGCCGCTTTACGAGAGTGCGCGCTCGGCCGCCGCTCTCGTGTCGGGCGTTGTCGGAGGAAGGTGGGGGCCTGCGGCCGCTTCCGCTCCTCTCGGTGCCGAGGATCATGGCGGCGTCCGAGGTATTTATATCGTGGGCGGCCGCAACTTCAGCTGTAGCGAAACGTGGCCGTCCACGCCAGTACGCTGCAGACGAGCTAAAGCGCGATCCAAACCAACGCTTCTTTTTGCGCCTGTAGGTCGTGCGGCTGCGGATGTGACGTATTTTCGTGACGTCGCGCCGCTTCTTCGCCCCTTCCGGGCGCGCACAAGAAAGTTGGATGATTTCAACTTCTCAACGCGCACAAAAACGCGCGGTGACGTAGTAGGACGCTCCTGTGTCCCGGCCAATCGGTGGAGGGCAAGCTAGTTCCGGCTCCGCCTTTCTCGCCGTCTGGCTGCCCTCTCCTCCCCCCCCCCCCCCTTTTATTCTCTTCCAACATGACAACGCGATCTCTCTCTCTTTCTCTCGCCGTCTGGCCGGCCAGTCTGTCGCAGTTGCACTTTGCTTGTGCGCTCGTGCCGAAGTTTCGCCCGTCCAAACCAAAGCGCACGGTTCTGACTCAGAAAGCGCGACCGGAAACAGCAAAAACGCCACGAAATGCGTCACATCCGCAGCCGCACGACCTACAGGCGCAAAAAGAAGCGTTGGTTTGGATCGCGCTTAAGAGAGCGGAAGAACGACATTCATGCTTTCGCATTCACAACTCGTAAGAACTGCAGAGGTGTCCTCGGAATTTTTTTTGAACTATTCGGAAATTCGAATATTCGCACAATCCTACTAGCGAGACAATGAAAATAGTCGACATGTCGTCCTTACCAAAATATCATTCCATACAAAAACCATTAAATGAAACACCCTCCATTCCCTCAAAGGTGAAAGAAAACGAAATTCACCAAAAGATGGACTTGCCAAGGGGACCTACACAGGTTAAGCACAAGTGGTGTGTCATTCTCTCCAATTTAACAGATTGCAATCTCAAAATCTTTTTAGTATTTCCGCGAGTGCCAAAGGTCACGACGGGCTCGCCACTGGATGTCTTGCTCAGACTCATAATTTTTACATCTTGCGGTGCCCTGCTCGGTCGAAAATAGAGGACAGATTTTGGCCTAAAAATAGAGACGCAGTGTTACAGTGAAAAACTGTGGCAACCCTCAGGACCACAAGGGATGACTAAAGGGTGCACAAGGTCCTGGCGAACAGCACGTCGAAATGCACGACAAAATGCGGACCGGTCACCAATTGTGGAAGCAGGTTCCCCACCCAAAGAAACTCGACTGCACATATATTAAAAATTTTATTTCTGTACAAAAAAACTGGCGAAAACACGTCTTGTTCGCACAAAACACCACAACACTTTGATAGTCGACACTGTTAATGCAGTATAAAAAACGGCACATGCACACACGCGAGAAACACGCCGCTGGGGATCGCTCCACTCGTAAGCCCAAACAATCCAACCTTGGAACAATCAAAACCCACTGTCCGGAGTGTGGCTCTTCTTCACCCAAAGCTCCGCGCGTTCCATCCTAACTCAAAAAGGCATTGGTAGACACAAACAAGGCACAGAGTCAAAACCACCCATCTCAACCTTTCGCCCCAACCAGCAGAAAGTTTCAGTAGAACGGCTCGCGTCCAATTGCCGTAGACCGCGCTTGGCACAAGCTCCCCCGAGCAAATCGAGTCGCCCGCCAATGCTGGACTGAGTGTGCTTTAGTGATTCGGATATGGTACTGTTCCCTGAAAAAAGAAAAAAAAGTGCAACTCGCCGAACCTTTTACGCCAGAAACATCGCACCTTGTAACAGTGCTCAGGCTAGTAGTATGCACATATGCGAGTTCTCTTGGGAAGTCTTTTCCTATCATAACCCTCCTTTCTCCAGTGTCAAAACTCTTCATTAACTGAACTTGCAGCCGACCGCTGTTCGCTTCCTTGAATGTGAACGCAACCAACTCGTCATGCCGCGATACTATGGGGCATCTCGAAGAGCAAACCCTTTTTGTTGTATGCCACATTTATCTATGCAACTCAAAGATATTGGATGTCACACAAATGTAACGCCGGTGACTGAAATATTGTGCTAAAGTATGAAAGCTTAACATAATCAGATTAAGAGATTAAATTCGTTTTTGGTTGCCTTCAGAGAACAAATGACACTTAGCAGGGCCCCCAATACTGTTTGTTGCTACCTGTAAGAATTTACATCTTCCCCTTTAAAAATGTATAAAAGTCCCGTCCATCTTTAAAGCACATAACATTCGGCCCCGGAACTTCGGTATTTCTAAAACCGAGAGTGCTAGTTGTGAGCACACGGTGAAATGCGTGGCGCTACATTCGGGTATTTGAGAAAAATCTGCAACGCATTTACAGGATGCAAAAAGTACTGTTTGATATTCTCATAAACCCTCCAAGCAAGTTAGCAAATAAGGCAAGACACCCTCTAAAATTGTCTTCTTTCCCAGAAATACAACACTGTCACATTTATACCGCAATACAACGCCGAATATAAGAGTCGCAGTTAATACAGGGACGCGAAGTGGGCTTGACCAAATGGCTTGTTCAGAGGCAAAACTAATTGTAGTCTTAGTCTTCTACAGTCACAGCGAGTAGCGAACAACAAAACACAGTCGTTGAACCCGCAACAGACGTCCTTCAAATTCAAATGCAACACTGGCAATCTTCACACTGAATAGTAGGCACAAAAAGAAAGGTTAGATTAGAAAACAATGCTAAAACTCTTTGGAGATAAATACTGGTTAGTGCTATGCTGCCCATCTCTACCACTTGCAAACAAGAACCGTTTCTTTCAAAGCCCCACGGCTGAAATAAATCAATGCACGAAGGAGGACAAAATGTGTTTGTACAACCGCCGCAGCCATCCGTATCGGCACGAGCAAAAGTTGCAAGTCTGGTTACAAACAAGCAAAGGAACTTTTAAAATTTTCGATTAGTGAAAAAACGTTGCAAAGGATTTTTTAACGGTACAAAGTAGGGCTTGGGCAGCCCGACCTTGTACCCTTAAAAGTGCATCGGACTTGGGCAGCCTGACAAAAAGGCATGCACACCAGTATACAAAGGGTTCGAGAAAGCCATTGAAGGCAGTCAACTAATTACACCCCCCAATAAGAAAAATTTTACTCAAAAGATGTTACTCAATCAGAAAGTAAGAAAAAAAAAAAGCAAAGATGAGATAGTCTTATCTGCCGCAATATGCCGCAGCTTTTTCAATAAATAAAAAAAAAATCAAAGTGCCACAGACCAGTTAGGCACACAGGTATATTCACAACATCAAAGAACAACATTCGAATAGCATCCGAGGGCTCGGCAAGCTTTTTGCACTTCCGCTGTTTCGTTTGTTCCGCACAACCAAGTGGCCCGGTCTTAAAAAGATTAAAGAGGAGCAGAGAGCGCAGCGGAAATGAGCAATACTTTGGATTCACGATTCACTCGTCACACAAGTATGAAAGAATTTCTGTGTTCTTGTAGGAAAATACGAAAACCAGTTTCATACAGTTCTAGCTCATTCTCACGCAAGTTCCAATGCAGATAAGAATCATTAGGATCTTTCTAAGAATCGTTGGGATCTCTCTAAACCAGAAAGCTCCGAAGCCTGTAAAATTTTTGTAACCACTTGCCCAGCCCCGGGATACTACCAAAAACAACATCCACCGACCTGCGTAAAAAAAATGTCGGTAGGACAACGCCCCATTCTTTGCGAGAAGGTGTAGAAAACTCCCGTAGCTCGACCCGCAAAACCTCACGAAAAACCAATCTCTAGTTACACCGAGAAAAGTCCCAAAGTTCGGCAAACAGGCAAAAATGCACCTCGCAAGATTCACCGACGGGCGCGAAATCCCCACTTTACGAACACTGCGGCGTAACTCCACTGAGACAATCGTGAGTACGACTCGGCAACTAGCGTAAACTGAAGGTTCCAGACGTCAATGCGAACCACCCGGTTCGGTTCAAAGCACGTCGTCTCGCACAAGCTCGTCCATTGTCTCTCAGAACGGGGGTAGGCATAGGACCGGACACTCCTAGTTGCAATGCTCCATTCAGTGGGGACGCACTCAAACGGCGGTCCGGAGGTGTCGCCGATCTGCGCACGTGCCACTTGAGCAGGAGATGCCTTCGCAGGCAAGGGCAGACAGACGACGGTTCGTGAAATCACTCCGGAAAAAGTGGGGGGGTGGGAGAGAGGCAATAAGGAAAAGGAACACGACGTCCGGTTCCCCTAGACGGCACCGAAGGGCAGAATCGACGCAGATGAGTCGGTAGTTTCCGGTCGAGGGATGTGCTCGGGAGCCAACGGTCAAGTTCAGCCATTTTTGCATTCGCAGGAGACGACGCACACAAATGCTCCAAGTGTCGCGCCCTCCAGCGACAACGCGATGTCTTTCAGAAGGGCTGCTCGAAGTCGGGTAGCACATTTAGGTAATGAAAGAAACGTCACAAGCTCCGGGGCACGTGCAAGACCCGGCCTCGAAGGCGACCGTGAAAGGCGAGACGTCCCGAGGAAAACCAACCGTCCAAGCAGAGCTCCAGACATGCTTGAGGCGTCCATAAGCTCCGCACAACTGAGGAGACTCGACGACAAAGGGGAGCCAAGTAAGACGGATGCCCTCGGCACCGGTCGAAGCGTGGTCGTCGTCGGACGCCTAGATGCCCGAGATGTCCCAAAGCACCGAGAGGAAGGAGCGGGCAAAGACGACGCAGCACACTGCCACCACTCCGACGAGGACCACCTCCGGGGCAGGCGACGCGCGGACCCACTCTCAGGGCAGGTCATCGGGAGGAAACGGCACAGTCGGGTAGCGCTCCTCGGGCGGTGCGTCCTGGTGGTGCTGTGCCGGCATTTGCCGAAGCTGTAGGGCGGCCGGCGCCTCATCCGCACCGCCCACGGCCCCCGGCTCCTGCTGCAACGGCTGCGGCGGCACGACCGGGGGTGAGGCGCCCAGGCCCGGGTCCACGACAGGCGGGGACCCGTCGGCCAGGTTTGTGATGGACTTGCTCTTCACGCACTGGAAGTCCACGTGGCGGCTCTTGGCCTCCTCCTTCTCCCAAGACATGCGTAGGAAGGGCCGCTGCACATAGTTGTAGATCACCTCCGCCCGGCCGCCCGGACGACGCTTCACCTTCTCCTTGTGCGTTGGGTAGCCTGCGAGGGGCCAGAACGTTCCCTACAGTCGCCGACAGAGAAAGAACAGCAAGTCTATCCATTTCCTCCGTGCTATAACCAAACGTCCAAGCGTCGTCCAAGGTGAAAAGCCCACGCTGGAGGCCCTTGCCCTGTTCGCAACTACAGACAGTTCCATTCTCTACAACGTGTTCAAGGGCTGGGCGCCTGAGGAAAGCGTGACGGGATGCCATAGAAAACTGTCGCCAATTGTGTAATGCAGATTTCAAAGAAAAATTTCCAAGAAAGAACTTACATTTAATCGAACCCAAAATCCATATCAAGCTCGACAGTCTACCAGGGTGCTCGAGGAGACTCTTGGAGCGACGTCCGTGTCACTTCTTTTCTGGTCCTCGTCTTTCCGCGCCGTTTTTAATTCTGAAGCGACAGTTACTTTGTTACCTAAGGGTGGAAAGCATGTGGGTAACCACATGACTGTGTCACGTGACTAAGAGCATGCGAATATTCGAGTTTCAAAATCGAACCTACTAGCATAATAAACCCCGAGACTAGTGAGAACGAGGGACGAAACCAAGCGGGAGTTTCGGAGTTGTAAGTTTATTCTGTTCAACCATCGCCGGTTCGTTTGCGCCTAACTTTTGGTTTGAACAGCGACTGCCCAAATATTTCAATCCAATTTTCACATTCCTAGATTTGAGCTTTGAAGCTAATTGGTGCGTCAAATACTGGTGCCGAAAATCTCACTTTATTCGAGAATGCCGTCCCTATGTTAACGTCGTCCTCGCGGGATTATTGACTGGCTAACCAGTTGGGGATAAATAAGTTTGCATCTTGTATTCCTCCAACGAAGTCCACCCGCCCTGCAATAGTAACCTCTTTACCCTATTGCAGGAAGTGGGACAAATGCCTCTTGCGAAGCCCTCCACTTTTTCCAATTTAGCGAGCAAACGCTGGAGGCTAGTCGACTTGCTTGGCCTCCTCTCCAGTACCTGGTCTTTCGAAAGAACTCTGTAGGCGTCCCGCTTTCTTAACCTGCAATGAGCTACGATTACTGAATTAATTTAACGCGAAGCAGTAGGAAATTTTTGTGAAATAGTAACTTGCAGATAGAACATCTTTTACAATGAGGTGATTTCAAATAGTTGCGATTCGATCGTCACTGCGAGTGGTCCTAATTTATGGATGATTGAGGAGCCCACCTTCAATGCCAAGCCGTATCTTCTTGAGCCCGCGTTCCTTGAGCACTTGCTTGGCCACGTCCCGGTTCTCAATGTACTTGAAGAAGCGGTACATCGCCGTACTGTGCACAACTGCAAAAAAAAAGCACCTCCTCAGGGAAAACCATACAAGGAGCAAAGCACCCATCTTTAGGGCCTAGCAAGTTCAGACATACTCACGAACACGAGCAATATGACGTCAAATCGAAGGGAATAGTAAACCCTTATACCCTCAAAGTTTTAAAAACTAAGAAACGAATTCGAGATAGTGGACTTTCAGGATAAGCGAGATGTAGAATTTTCAATGCACTGATTGCGCATTGTGCAAACGGAACACTTCCAACAACTGTGCCAATCGACTTGACACTCACAAAGTGCTGGTGCCTTGGGGAGAACAAAACGACCACAACATAATTGGGTCATTCCACGCCAAACATTTTCAATGTTGTGCTCAATCATTTTTAATTTTTAAAAGAAAATTTGTGGCTTTTTACCTTAAGGTCCTTTAGCCTGTTCTTAAGACATTTATGACATAAGCGTGGTTTTATTTTTAAAATGGACATAAAACAAGGCATCATTCAATAACTTAGTAAAAGTCTAATCTTTTTCAAAACGCTTCACAATGCATTTCCTGAAATTCGGACAGCTTTTAGGTTGCTATGTTGTGATAATTATGCAATCTTTATTGTTAAAACATTTTTAAAAAAATCAACAAAATGCACAAAAATTAGCACTTTTCTAAATTGTTCGTCTAATTATTGCTTTGCACCTGGAAATTATAATTTTTCCCATTCCAAGTCCTGTAAATGTATTACAAATTAAAAATGCTTGAAGCTGTACAACAAAATTCTTCGCAGGAAAAAAAAATTCTAAAGTTGTGAAAAGTCCGTTTTGCTGCCTAAACAGTTGTTTATTCCACCCCGAGGTGGTCCAAGTAAAAATATGAAAAATAACGACTTTACAAGAAGAGGTGATTGCCTTTCATTTCTGAAAGTTGATTTTGATTTTTTTCTCAATTGCTCAGATAACACGAAACTCATTTTTCTCTAAATCGAGAAAAAGAATATTGAAATTAAGCTCTCGTGTTGCATCCTGGCACTGTTTCTTAGCACCTCCTCTTTGCACAACACGCCGCTTCACACAAGACCTGACACGAGGGCTCAGAAGCTTTGCGTGCACGCAAAACAATTGCCGGTCGCGAGTGTCATTTTCGCAGAGGGCTCAACACGTCCGCATTCTTGACTTGCAATGGACCGCTTTCCAAGTAATGAGTGCCGTCTGGGAAGTTGTCTGTGAACTACAAATGAAGGGTAGTCTAGCATGCCTTCAACAGTCGGAACACATTGGCATCGTGCCTTTGTATCAGTTTTCATTGCTTTCTATGGCCCATACTGTCGACACTGAAAAAAGAATCGACAACTAAGACAAAATATGTGCGAAGATAGATGCTGAACATGCTAGTTGTGCGAGATGGTGCCCTCCGAAAATGGCGATAACAGGAAGCAAGGCCAAGGGAGGGGGCGCACGCATGCGCAGAAGCTTGCTGAAAAAAGGTCCATTGCCTGGTATATTCAGTCACTGTTACGGCTAAAGACGCGGCACAGTTTGCCACTTCCACTTGGCCTTTTTTCCTCTGTGAAACAAACAACAGCGGACATGGTGTGATAATCGTATGTGCTGTCACGGCATAGCAGGCTCGTAGCACCATCTGTAGCTATGTCAGCTCTTCTCAATCCGAAACTTGATGCATAAAGGTGTTGGCATCACCCGAAAGAGTCTTCTTCTATTCAGGAAATTTAAAAATGATAGAACAAAATCCCTACTGGAGTTTTCGAAGGAAAGGGCCGACGGTAAGAAAGGGAAGAAACATGAGGGGTATTGTTTCGAATGACAACTGGCTAGTTGCAATCAGGAATCTGCCCAAGAAAGTTAATTTTTTTGTCGGAGTATGCTGCCATATCGATAGATGAGGCAGGGCACTCGTCACAGGTAAGTCATTCTGCGGTTTGTGCGGATGCTGATGGGGGTAAGTAGGAAATTCCGATTGTTTTATTTTATAAACTAGGAGGATAGATATGTCGTGTTTGCTCATCGCTAATGTGTCACCCGCTCATATCGATGGATGAAGCAGGTCACTTGGTACAGGCAAGTCATTCTGCGGTTTGTGCAGATTCTGATGAGGGTACATAGGAAATTATAATTGTTCAATTTTCTACACTAAAAAAATAGTTGTGTCGTGTTTACTCATCGCTAATGCGTCACCGACTCTTTTGAGTTGCAGCAGTTCAATTCATGCCGTTCGCAAAACCGACTAGACACAGTAAACAACAAATTTTAATCTGTATGCTGTTCAACCTGTTATGTTTATGTGACACCTGTCCCAGTAAAAGTTGTAATAGTGCAATAATTTATCTGCAGCTGACCCGATTTACCTCTTGCCTGCCACTAAACCAGCGCAAAAAAGTTTTTACGCTGAATATACCCGCTGGGATACAGTACTGGCTTTTGTCATGAAAAAGTTTGATATGCCCGAATCGTGTGAGTAGGCAAGAGTGCTTTCTTTTATACACAGTATGTAGTACCTTAAAAATTTCTGGTTTCTTTGTAGAAACTGAACTCTCTCCGTGCTCTTCTGGTGCAAATGGTTGCCACAAAATCACGCAGGCCAAGAAGTGGTCCCTCATTGATGCTCAAGACCTGACGGACATGGGTCGACAACTCCCTTCACTTCGCTCAGGGGCCCTGAGTGAAGAGAAAGGATCCGTCAATCCATGTCCGTCAGACAACACATTAGCGATGAGTAAAGACGACACAACTATGCTCCTAGTTTAGAAAGTAAAATAATCAGAATTTCCTATTTACCACGATCAGCATCCGCACAAACTGCATAACGACTTGCCTGTGCCAAGTAACCTGCTTCATCTATGAATATGGCACCATACTCCGACAAAAATAAAATTTCTTGGGCAGATTCCCGATTGCAACTAGTCAGTGATCGTTCGAAACAGTACCCCTCGTTTTTCTACCCTTTCTTACTGTTGGTCTTCTACTTTAAAAATACCAGCAGGACCTCACTCTATCGTTATCCCATTTCCTGAATAGGAGAAGTCTCCGTCAGATGATGCCAACGCCGTTAGGCATCGTGTTTCGAAGTGAGGAGAGCTGATATCGGTACAAAGGATGCAATGAGAGTGCTGTGCAGTGGTGGCACAGCACATACAATTATCACACCATATCCGCTGTTTTTTGCGTCACAGCCAAAAGAAGGATGAGTGGAGGCGGCTGCGGCAAACCATGGCGCATCTTTAGCTGCCTTGCAAGTCAAGAATGTACATGCATAGAACCCTTTTGAAAATCACACTTGCGTGCGTGCAAAGCTTCTCAGCTCTCGTGTCAGGTGGCGTGTTGTGGTGAAGAGGCGTCAAGAAACAATGCTAGGTTGCAACACGGGAGCTGAACTTCAATTTTATTTTTATCGATTAAGAAAAAAATCTTTTTGATTAAACTTTCACAAATTACAGCCCAATGGATCTTCTTCTAAAGTCGTTATTTTTTATATTTTTACTTGAACCACCTCAAGTAGAATAAACGGCTGTTTAGGCGGCGAAACGGACCTGTTCCCAACTTTCAAATTTTTGTTTTTGTTAAGTATTTTGTTGCATGGCTCAAAACATTCTTAATTTGTAACACATGTATAAGACTTCCAATAGAAAAAGGTTATAATTGCCAAAAGTAAAGCGATAATAATTTTTTATAGAAAATTTCAAGTTTTTATGAATTTTGTAAAACTTTTAAAATATTTAAACAATAAAAATTGCCTAATCATCACAACATAACAAGCTAAAAGCTGTTCGAATTTCATAAAATAAATTGTGAAGTGTCTTGAAAAGAAATTTGATTTTTACTTAAATATTGAATGACGCCTAATTTTACACCCATTTAAAAAATTAAAATCACGCTCGCACCATACAAAAAAAAACACGAAAATATTTGAGGAACAGGTTAAGGACCTTAGACTAAGAAGTCATGAATTTTCTTTTAAAAATCCGAAATGGTTGGGCGCAACGTCTTTGACGTTTGGCATGAAATGACCCAATTATGAACAGGCAACACCCATAAGATGAGACAGCAAAACCGGGAAGAAAAAATGCACAAAAAAAGAAGGGGAAAAAACAATTAGAGGAGGACACTCAAGACTGTTTACGTGTAGGAAGGCAAAAGGGCATTCGTAAACACAGCACATTCCTACAAGCAGCACGCCATGTTTCTTCCTTTTTCACATGACGTTCCAGCAGTGACACCACACTCCCCCACTGCGCAGGTTTTATGTCTAAAGTGCGTCTGCTTTGACCTTGAGTGGTGCTTAGGCGCGGCACCCCTGCCGGCATCACGGCTTCTTGATGACATATTTTTATTACCATTTTTCAGGGACAATGCCGCCGCTTTTTCACGTAATGGAACGAAGCGAACAAAATGGGCGACGGTTACACTTAAGTCCTAAATGTATTCTATTGGTGTGGCGAGGGCAAAACATTGTTTTCGTCCATACTGGAAGTGGTGATATTTCAAGAGGCGCCCTTGTGAAAAAGGTCTATAGACCCTCAGTTTAAGTGGCAGAGGGCGGGATAGGGAAAGGGCCGACTCACTGTGCGAGTGCTCCTCTCCAGTCTGCGGGGGATACTCCTCATCCCAGTCCACCGTGTCGTCGTCCAAGAGCACCACAATGTGGCACTCCCGGTCCCCACGCTGTTCACAGGAAAAACCATAGAATAAACGAATGAACATACCAATTAATTGAGCAGTGAATAAATAAATGAGTCAATCAATCAATCAATAATTTATGAAACCCCACGAATCAGTTTGGCCATTTCAATTAATAGATTTGCAGTATGTGCATAAACAACATGGGGGGAACTATCACCGTTTGCTTGCAGTGGAGGTCAAACGGTGAACCCTCATTGAGACGAAGTAAACGGGACGGCAACTAAATTCCTGACGGGAGCAGATACCCCGATCAGAGCAAGAGAACCGTAAAAAGAGCGACGGTAGCCTCGGAAATGCGCCGGAATGCCGCCAAAGCCTCCAAACAAATATTCAACCGAACAAACCGTGGCGACGGGGCAACCCAACAGCATTTGGAAGGAGAAACGAGCGGAGTTGGCCGAGCATTTTTGCCGGGCCTCAGTAGCACCTCCTCTGAATGTTTTAGGCATCGCATTAGGCCACAGTTGCTGCCACCCCAGTCCACTTGGTTGCGAAGCAAACAAAAGCCATTTCTCGTCTGCATCTCGAGGCTCTTCGCCGGATGCCTTCGTCTTGGCGACACGGAAAGTCTACGATCTCGGGATCTGCGTTGGGAGCAACAACGGGATTGTGTGCATAGGGGAACAAAGCGATGTCGTCCTCGGATGCTTTGTCGACTGTCTCCCGCACTTCCGTAGAGGTCGTTGCAGCTCTGGGAATCACCACCAACTCGTCTGGCTTGCGTGCGACAGAAATCCGTCAAGCGCAAAGTTAAACCAGACTGAACCGGGCGGCCACCGGGTAGCAAAGGCACGTTCGCTTGAAGGAGATATGCGTGGGCACACACCCTAGAGCACTGCACAGGCCGGAATTTCTAGGCCCAGCCCGACCCGCTAGGGACACGACCCGGGCCTGGCCCGAGCCTGACATAATATTAAAATTCTAGACCCGGCCAGGTAGGGACACTGCCTGGGCCCGACCTGAGCTCGACAGATTATAAACATGAGCTCGAAAGAGTGTCCAGGTTTTAAGCTAAAAACTGGCTAAGCATAAACCGTGTACTCTCCCACTATGCTGGTGGAGTCCATACATTTTCTTTTATCCACTTCCCAAGTGCAAGACGTCTTTTTGTAATTTTTTTTAACGGCGCCGTAGTGGCTTTGCATTTCTCTTTGTTTTCACTGAACCTAAAAGATCAACGAGCAGACGTTTTGTTATAAACAATTTAGAATTTGCAGCACACGACTGTACAGGCACGGCCCGAAAAATCTTTTGTTCAAGACCGAGAAAGTGCGTGCTCCCCAGCCCGGCCCAACCTGCCGGTTGGGCCGGACTGGCCCAGGCCCGTGCAGTGCTCTAACACACCCGTGTCGGGGCTCCCGAAAGTATGGCCTCCTTCAGCCTCTTCTCTTGCCAGATTCCGAGAGGAGACGGCGGCTGCTGAAGGAAGAACTGCGTGCTTCCGGCCGTTCATCGAACATGTGGGCCGATCGAAATGTGCACATACCTAGTTAAATATGAAATAAAGCGATAACTGAAAAATCCAAATTCGCTATAATAAAGGCCCCATCTGAAGGATCCCCCAAGCACTTAAACAGTACGCGACTCACTGGCGATTCGCAACGGGAAAATTGACACGCTGGGTGAAAAGCACACAATAAATGCATCCTTCCCAAAGTTCCATGACTCTCATATTTGTCAGACTGCCGAACTTCTGCACTTTCGCTAGTAGTCTCTGTCGTCCCTACTGGGCCGAAAACCTGCGTGGACAGAAAACAGTGGCCAGAAATCTGAGGAACGAGGCACGGAAGTCACCTTTCGAGGCTGCAACGTCCAACACGCTCTACCGCGATCCCGGCGGTCACGCCGTCGCAAAACTTCGTGACGCCCTTTCTAAGTTTCAATGGCACCTCTGCCACATGGGTACCAAAACTGCAGTGCAAAGCATGAGTCCACTAAGCACCATCCAAAGCTGCCATTGTAAGTTCCACACCATCCTCACTATGGCCCATATAGTTGAAGACGTTGGATGTGGGAAATAATATTTCTAGGACATATTTAAGATCCGGTTTAATCGCAAGATAGGAGGATCTGCAAAAAAGCTGCTGCGCGCAGGTTCCCGTTAAATTCGACGTAGGCCGAATTACACCGACCCCCCTCACTCCCGTTGATTCAGAGCGCCTCTCGTCAGCTCTCTTTCGAATACCGAGACCGCTTGAGCTCACCTGAGCGGAAATGACCATGCGGCAGACAATGAGCTCTTCCAGGAACTTCTCGAACTGCTGCCGGGCTCCCTCGTTGGACAGCTCGTGAAGAAGGCCCCCTAAAACATACAATGGGGTTCAGAGACAGGCCCACCGTCTTCGTCGCGCTGGTCACACAAATCTCGGTTGGTACATTGAAGGCCGAGTCCCAAACACAACTGCTCACGACCGAGTGCTTTAAAACCTTTAGGGATCTCTTAGGACGAATGAACAGACTGGTGTTGGGTAGCTGTACAACACTTGGCGTATATTAAAGCACTAGCTTTATAGGGCCAACCAACCTAAGGAGATGCATAAGCACCATATGTGTAGGTTAGACAGCCTGCAACCGCTAAACTATCTAGAAAAACGTTCAGCCTTTTCACTTTCGTGAAGAAGGACGACCAGTGGAGCTGTACTCAATACACTGCCGCAACGCGCACGCGCTCAATTCCCGCTTTTTCTTGACCGACACCGATCAGTCTTGACCGACACCGATCGGTGCACTTGACTGATCCTGGATACGTCTCCGGCGAACCAAAGTTGGTCGCACACGGCGCACGTGACGCCAAACGGGTTCTCCACAAATTCCCTCCAGAACCTCGCCGTCGCACCCCGGAACTGTTCAGCCGGTGCGGAGTGCAGTCGTCGCCGGGCCTCGCGCCTGCGCTTGGCCTCCGTGGCACAATCGTCGTCCGTGGCGTTGGCCCGCCGGCGCCCTTTACATCGCTGGTTCTGTTCTCGGTGGCGGCTTTCCAGGCGAGTGATGTGCTCTTTGGCAAGAGAATCTGAAGCGCTGGACTCAGTGGAAGTCGAGGCGACAGCCGCTTTGCGGCGGTTGCGGACCCATTCGCGATGCTACGTACTTCGCCGCTCCTTCCGCAGCCTGTCTCCTTTCCCCGAAAGGGCGTGCTGCCGACCCATCGTGAGTCCAAACCGAAACTGATAAGAGCGTAGAAAACAGCGCCCAAAACAGACGAGGACGAAGAAACACACGTAACGAGCGCTGCGCTCGTTACGTGTGCTTCTTCTTCGTCGTCGTCTGTTTTTCACGCTGTTTTCTACAATGAATTCCCACCAACGCGCACAACTATCAATTCTTCTATGATAGCTGGGAAGGTTGCCGCCATCTACGAGCGACGGCGGAAACCATACTGGTTGCGTGCTTGCCGCCGTCGCTTATAGATGGCGGTAGCTGTCCAGGTAGGTTTGTGTCGACATACCGGACACAATCCTGGGGAACCTAGCCGTTAACAGCTCTGCTGTAAAAAATTACCACTGGTGCAAGGAATCGAACCCCGGTCACCGGCGTGGAAGCCGGGTGCACTGCTAAGGCTTCATTCCCAGAGCCGTTTTTTCCCCCATCCTGGCGAGAGCGCTGAGCAGCATTCCCGCCGGGAGGAGGGTTTTTGGGCCGGTTATGAACCCAATCGCACTGCCGGACAGGAAGTGTTCTGAAAGACAATGTTCTACGTTTTCGGCGCAGACGGGAGATGGGGGGTGCCGGAGTCCCGCCCCAAACGGGGGAAGACCAATTCCAAAATATCAAACTTTCGCTCAATCTGGCGGACTCTCAAAGTTGGGTGACCATGGGCACGGTCACAGGAGAGGGGATTGACTGTACCGTGCCCCCCCGACAAAGCCAACAAAGCTTTTTTCGGGAAGGGGCGGGACGAGGGTGCTTTGTGTGATGTTTAGGGCTCTTGAATAACGGGCCATAGAGAAACTTGGATTTTCCGCTGAGCTGCTGCTCAAAATGGTGAGACCACATTGTTTCCTTTGCAATAGACATAAATATAATTTTAAGGAAGAACAGCCAAATTAAGGAAGTACGGTGGTCGATTATCGGGGAAGATATGTGGAGTAAGAAGTGATGTGAAACATGCTCACCGTGGGTCTTGTTTTTATTTCGAAATGTAGAGACAAATAAATGTTTTCAAACCAGCAAGATCCTTATCGCCGACCCAAAAGCACGCTCCAAGTAAGAAAATAGTTGTGGCGACACCAATCAACGCCAACCATCTCCTACATTTAGTGATCGACGCCGCCACAAAGTAGTCACAGATGGGGGTCACAAGATTGGTGGTAGAGATCAAAAGAAGTGTGAAATTGGGCACAAAATTAATGGGTTATATTGGTTATACAGTCTTACAGGATACAAAAGTTTGATGCAGAATTTGAAAGAAGCAGAAAGGTTTCTAGGCTAGGTAGCACAAGCTACCGTTCAATATGGAGGGCACAACAGCCAGCATCCATCAAATCTCGTAGCCACCGCTAACAGCTCCGTCGTCGTTGGTTCGAACACTCCCCCATCCCAGCATGCACCGTCCCAATTTCCGCACGGCGCTGACAACGCTTGCGCCAGGACGGGGCGAGGAGCCGGCTGTGTGAATGAGGCCTAACTGAGCTACAGACCCAGCACACAGAAACAGGAGGAGCAGAAGCAGGTGGTGTGAGAAAGCGTGCAAAGCAGAGAGGCATGGAAAGGGCAAGAAAGAGAGGAGCAGAAGCAGGTGGTGTAGAAAGAGCACGCAGAACAAGGAGGAGTGGAAGGGACAGAAAAGCACCCTTCACCTCTATTGGTGACTCAGAAATTTCGGTGTGAAAGTATCTGTATCTAAGTGGTGTTGAAGGGGATGTGCACAGTGTCCTAAAGAGACAGTAGTGACGTAATTTGTTTGTATACAAAACCCCGCCCTAGGCACCACCTGAACGAAGAGCACACCCCACTCCAGGCACTGGGGTCATCCCGCCTTGGGCACCACCCAAACTTATAGCACCACCCACCCTTAAAGCTACCACATTTAAATGCATTTGGCAGAATGAGCAAAGATGCAGCCATATTTTTCCTATTTTTTGGCCCATCATTTTTTTCTAGATCAAAAAGTGAAAGCCGCTTACAACTCCCTGTAACGCCGAATTAGAGCGCAGCTCTTGAGGAGGAGGAGGGAAGGGCACTGGGGGGGGGGGGGGTTAAACTAACCAGGGGGGGGTCACGTGACCTTGGGGGGTCACGTGACCTTAGGGGGTCACGTGACCCACAATGCCGATGATGTCATCACTGACGTCACTGATGACGTCATCAGTGACGATGACGATGCGGGTACCGATGACGTCATTAGTGACGTCACTGATGACTTCACCAGTCATGATGACGATGACGATGCGAATGTCGGTGACGTCATCAGTGACGTCGCTGATGACGTCATCAGAATGATGACGATGACGATGCGGATGTCGGTAACGTCATCAGTGATGATGACGATGACGATGCGGATGCCGGTGACGTCATCAGTGATGATGACGATGACGATGTGGATGCCGGTGACGTCATCAGTGATGATGACAATGTGGATGCCGGTGACGACATCAGTGATGATGACGATGACGATGCGGATGTCGGTAACGTCATCAGTGATGATGACGATGACGATGCGGATGCCGGTGACATCATCAGTGATGATGACGATGACGATGTGGATGCCGGTGACGTCATCAGTGATGATGACGATGGCGATGTGGATGCCGGTGACGTCATCAGTGATGATGACGTCATCAGTGATGATGACGATGACGATGTGGATGCCGGTGACGTCATCAGTGACGATGACGTCATCGGGGGGTCACGCGACATCGGCGGGGGTCACGTGACCTCGGCGGGTCACGTGACCTCGAGGAGGGGGTCACGTGACCTCAGGGGAGTCACGTGACTTCGGGGGGTCACGTGACCTCGGGGGGTCACGTGACCCCGGTGGGGGGCTCGCGCGGTGCATTATGGGACATTTCCCATGATGCACCGGGGTCACGTGACCTCGGGGGGGTCACGTGCCCCCCACGAGGTCACGTGACCCCGGTGGGGGGCTCGCGCGGTGCATTATGGGACATTTCCCATGATGCACCGCGCGGTTACGCCGACGCCGACGCCAACGCCGACGGCGACGCCGCTCAGGCTGGAAACGGGCCCCTAAGAGCTGCGCTCTAAAAACTTCTGGCAATGTTATAAACGAGATCCTTTCTCATATATAGTACATACATTTGACCTTGCAAATACCTCAGAACCTTCGCTCTAGTCCAGGCATCGGCAATTGGCGACTCCCGGCATGCCTCCAATATTGACCCCCTCCCCCTTTCACACACACAGACACACACACAACACAAGGGAAAGAGGTGTGTTTGGTTGGTAGCCCGGTATTACCGGCCAGATTAACTCTGAACAAGTTCAAGACATATGCCACAGACCGAAATCACTGATCAGCCCATCCTGAAACAAGCAATTAACTGAAGAATGCATTTGTAGCAAACGATTTCATTAAGTTTTCCGCTGGCCTCACTGAATTAAAGTTTTCAATTCTATGAAATATTGTAGCAGCCTTGAACGAAGTGCCCGCACAGCACCATATATATCTGCTCACATACTTTTACAAGATGAAGACTGTGAAGTCAAACGTGGTTCTTGCAAATGACAGATGAGCACCTCAAAAATGTTTTATGACTCTCGGTTAAAAGTTTAAATGTGAATGTTTGCACCTTGGGAAGCAATATTGGACACCCATTATTGGGCAATATTAAAAAACAAAAAAAATGTGACCGTTTTTTTTTTTAATCTTCCATTTCTATAAGTTGACCCTCCATCTCCGCCTTGCGACGATTTGACCCACTGCAGCAAAAGGTTACCGACCACTGCTCTAGTGAAAAACAGTTCCAGGGTCACTTCACAGATGATGATGCCAGCATGCCAGTGTGTTTTCTCGTCGTAAGATATCGCAAGAACTCGGTCATAAGCAAATGCAAGTTTAATAACTTAAGTATTACCGTAACTTCCCTCCGAAAAAAAGAAAGAAGAAAAAAGAAAAGTGACTTAGGGTTGCCTTTGAGTGTAGAGAACAGAGGGAACAAAAATTGAGCAGTCCCGCATTAATCCACAGTTACAGCGATAGGTGCAACACATCACAGCAAAGTCGTTAGCATCAGCATCGCGTTCACACGCTCTGGGGTGTCTGAACAAAGGCGTTTTGAACAAAAAAAAAATGAAAGCCGTTTACAACTCCCAGTAACGCCGAATTAGAGTGCACAGCTCTTGAGGAGGAGGAGGGAATGGCACTGGGGGGGGGGGTCACGTGACCTTCTGGGGGTCACTTTACCGGGGGGGTCACGTGACGATGCCGATGACGTCATCAGTGATGATGACGATGCCGGTGACGTCATCAGTGACGTCACTGATGACGTCATCAGTGATGATGACGATGCGGATACCAGTGACATCATCAGTGATGATGACGATGACGATGCGGATGCCGGTGACGTCAACGGGGGTCACGTGACCTCAGGGGGTCACGTGACCTGGGTAACCATCATGACCCTCGTGAGGGTAACCCTAGTAACCCTTGTGAGGGCAAGTCTCGTGACCCTCGTGACCCTTGTGAGGTTAACTCTCATAACCCTCGTGAGGGTAACTCATAACCCTCGTGACCCTCGTGAGGGTAACCCCTTTGAGAGTAACTAACCCTCGTAGCCCTCGTGAGGGTAACCCTCGTGAGAGGAACCCTCGTAGCCTTCACGAGGGTTACGAGGGTTACTCGCAGTTACGCCGACGGCGACGGCGACGCCGCTCAAGCCGGGAACGGGCGCCTAAGAGCTGTGCTCTAAGGCATTTGACCATTTTGTTCCAAACACTTCCGTTTGTTTTCTTTGTTCCAGGGCGTGAAAGTGTGTCTGCTGGAATGAGCTCTCGGCATTGACAATGTTAAGATGGCATTTTGTTATTCGCTATTTCTTCGTATTTTTCCAGAGAGTGTGTGCAGTGGGCATCAGGTATTACAAAAACCCTAAATATAAAGAGGGTCGTTAACGCTGTGACGTAGCTCTGTGGTAACACCTCTGCGTCGCACGTGGAGGACCCAGGTTCAATTCCCGTGTGTGGCAGGCAATCTTTTTCGAGGATTTGGCAACTTCAACGACAGAAACCTTACGCCAACTTCAACATCAACAAAGACAACTATAACTAGGACAACTCCAACTCCAACATTACCAACGGACGTCATTTCCAGTGGTGGGAAAAGCCCATGACAGCTATCACCGTAAAAAGACCCAATGCCCTACACCCAGGAATCCCAGGAATGGCTATTTCTCTCGAATGGGAGCCAGAAAACCCACCCTGGCATCGCAACTGATGCCAAAAACGTTTTGCGAACCTGAAGTTTGAAGATCGAACCAAGGGGTGCGAAAGGTTTGCAACGTTTCAAGACATCAAGCTTATTACATAAAAAATTCAACATTTTCGAACTTTCGATTCTGCTGAGTTTAAAAGTTCAACGAACTTCGAACTTCCGAACAGAAGTGCGACAAAGTTCGAACCAAGTTTCCCCTCTCCCTCCCCCTCCTCTCCTCCTCCCCCCTCCCCCGAGGTTCGAGGCAACAAATATAAATAGCACAAGATGTCAATGTGCAAAGTGGTTTAAACTGCATTTAAAGTCAATCATACTTGGCTGATCGTGAAACAAATGACTTGTTCGTAAAGCGCTCAATGATCACTTTGGAGTGGCCTCGGCCTCGTACCTCACACCTTTTAGAGCGCAGCTCTTAGGGGCCCGTTCCCGGCTTGAGCGGCGTCGCCGTCGCCGTTGGCGTCAGCGTAACCAAGGTCATCCCAAGGTCACGTGACCCCTCCCAAGGTCATCTCAAGGTCACGTGACCCCCTGAAGGTCACGTGCCCTTGGGGGTCACGTGGGGTCATCTTGGGATCACGTGACCCCCAAGGTCACGTGACCCCCCCAAGGTCATCTCAAGGTCACGTGACCCCAAGATGACCCCACATGACCCTTTGAAGGTCACGTGACCCCCAAGTCACATGACCTCACAAGGGTCACGTGACCCCTTTGAGGTCACGTGACCCCCGAGGTCACGTGGTCTCCTCCCCAAGGTCACGTGACCCCCGAGGTCACGTGACCCCTCCCAAGGTCATCTCAAGGTCACGTGACCCCAAGGTGACCCCCCAGGTCACGTGACCCCTGTGAGGTCACGTGACCCCCCGAGGTCACGTGACCCCTCCAGGTCACGTGAAAGGTCACGTGACCTGGAGGGGTCACGCGACCTTTGGGCCGAGTGAGTTTGAGATTTCCCGAGTGAGACAAACTCACTCGGGAAATCATTGAGGCGCGGGAAATTGGAAGATTGGGGCAAAACTGTGTCAGCATTCCGTCACTATCTTTATCAGATAAGGAACGTTCCTATTTAGACAAACAGTGACAGTGCATAGCGATGGCTAGTGAGCACGTGGCATCCAGGTCAAGCTTTTTATTCATGTTTGTTTGTTGTGACAATACAGTATTTATACTCGCTGTTAGAACGAATAAACTTCAGTTGTAAGTCAGCGCCTTGTTTGTCTACCTTCTTGTTCTTGTCCGTGTCCTTGCGCTGTTTTAATCTTTAATCATGAAATACCAACTAGCCCAAACTTCTACTTTAATCTCCTCAAGAGCTGCGCTCCAATTCGGCGTTACAGGGATTTGTAAACGGCTTTCACTTTTTTCTTTCGACTTTCGCACAGAACCTCCCCCACGCACAACTCCGTAGGTTGCCCCGAGGTAACCTGTAGGCCAACAGATCCCAGATTTGCAGGATTGAAATTCAACCGCGAGGCGCTTCGCTGGGAGCGTCATTCATAGCATTAGTTGCTTTTAATCGCAAGTCCCTCGATTTCTTTGCGCAGTGGCGTAGGCAGGGGAGTGGTTTGGGGGGCCAAACACCCCCCCCCCTCCCCCCCCTTCCCCTTCCTAAATCATCACTGTTTTTAAGAAAGACAAATATTGAATGACTACCGAACTGCTTCAGCCAGGTGGGGGGTTGGGGACGCCCATGTTTGTACCTGTGAATTGTACAGTGCATCAACTACACACGTACGTGAAGATGACACAAAATCCCCCACCCCAATTATAAAAGTCCTCCCCCTCCCCTCCCCTCCCCTCCTCCCTCCCTCCCTCCCTCCCTCCCTCCCTCCCTCCCTCCCCTCCCCTCCCCTCCCCTCCCCTCCCCTCCCCTCTCCTCTCCTCTCCTCTCCTCTCCTCCCCTCCCCTCCCCCCTTGCCCAAAATAATTCTTGGCTATGCCATTGTCCTCGCGCCAAGGAAGGGCACGCGTGGAGCGGGACATCAATGCTCTACAGCGAACGCTCAATCGGCGCTTACTTGATTGTCATTAATAACTGGCTGCATTCTGAAGTGGCCAATATCTCTATTGATTGAAGAAGAAAAGTTCTAGGCAGCAGCAATATGGTAAGCCCGATAACAAACGGCCGTGACCTGATCAGCTGTATTTGGACGGGTGGTTCCCTAATTTAGTCTCATTGAATTCTCCTCAACCTTGACTTGTGTCGGGTGCTGTGCCTGTGTTTAGTGTTTTCTCCATCCCACGTGTCATCCCGCCAAAAATAAACGCCCAAATCAACTAAAGATTTTCGGGTAGCCTGGATGCCCTTGTGTGTATGGATTGTCCTGTATATTTAGTTGTTTTATGCCAGCCTTGCATTTAGGCGACATTTGATTCGATTGCTACCAGTTTAGAAATAAGTAGGAAGTACATTCACCCGACTGCCTCAGGGCTTTTCGGTGAACCGCTCAACCAGTTCAAAGTTTGTTTCATAAGTTACAGCAAATAGCAAGTAATACACATAGTACTGTCAGTACCGCAGCATTGAGAAGGAAGCGTGTAATCACGGCATAAGAGAAATGGGCAACATTTTCAGTAAAATTTGTAGCACATTTTGTAAGTTTTTTTAGATGATTTCATGAAAACAGTTTGAGACTGTGGAATTTGATCTGCTTCCTTGAAATTCAAAGACTTCAAACTTCAAATCGAAACTTTCAAACTTTTCGAACTTGTACCTAAAAAAATTGAGATCTTTGAATTATTCTAACTTGAATCCTAAATAAATTCGAAACGTTCGCATTTCTTGAATGAGCTGTCAGAGAAATCTAATATACAAACTTAAACTTTCAGAAATCTTAATATTTTCAAATTATTCAAATTCAAACCTCAATGGGGTTCTAAATTTGCAAACTTTTCTAATTTGAACCTTGGTGAGCTTTGAAAACTTCAAACCTTTCGAACACGAACTTTGAAAGGTTCGCGGCATCCCTAATGCTAAGTAGTGTTTGGCATACAGTTAGTTGCACACCAATGAATGGCTCAGACCTTTCAAGACAGTTCTTGGAGGGGCACTAAAGAGGATTCTGCAATCGTCTGTTCTTGGTCATAACTGATTCTATGTGCCCTGAGCACCCTAAAGATTCAAAAATTACAATCATGCGACGCCAATTTTCGTATGAAAATTGTGATGAAAGGTCGGGACAACCCCTTTTCTGAGCGGACTTTTCAACCCAGGAAAGGCCATTAGTAGTGTCAGCGCGGTGACGATGGGTGCTCATCGGCCAACCGCAAGCCGCCTCTTTGAGAGAGGTGGTTCGTGATGGAGAGGCGACAACTGAGATTGGCTAAAGAGCGCTCATCGTCACCGGGCTGACACCGCTGCTGGGGTAGGCCCCACCTTCCCTGAGCGGAAAAATCTGCTCAGAAAAAGGGGTGTCCCGACCTTTCATCACGTTTTTACTATGGAAGTCGGCGTCGCGTGATTGCAATTTTTGGATTTTTAGGGTGCTTAGAGCACGTAAAATCCATTATGACCAAAAACAGACAATCGCAGAATCCTCTTTAGTGCCCCTTTAAAGTGCAAAAAGAGTTTACTTAGGGGCAGGAACGAGCGAGGAAATTCGAGAACATAGGGAAACCCTCGGGGTATTTTCGGGAACTTTCCTAGCAACCCAGTTTGGGTGATGACGACATGAGCCGAAGGGTGACTCACTCAGGTTGTGGCACTTGACCGTGTGGGCGTCGAAAGGGATGAGCAGGTAGTCGCACGCCTCCCTCAGCTCCGGCACGCTCACGCTCGGAGGGCAGTACACCACGCCCGTCTTGTAGTAGTCCTGCGCCGTCCAATCCGTTAACAACCAGACGCTTGCCCCAAATCGACCCCTGTCCCAACACACGGGGCAATCTGCCCATGACGCTGTCTCATAAACGACGAGACGTAACAGTAGAGAAGAGGACGCCGGTCAGACATTCTTGTGTAAGAGCTTCTCCAAGAAACCACTGGCAAAAATTCATCCCCAATGTCTCATAGACCGCTACTATGTGTTTCCCTTTGACTCTGCAGCTCGCTATCTCAAGACCGTCATTTTCGGTTGTATTGCGTTTATTTATGATGAAAATTGTTTGTAGTGAGTCGGTATTCTTTCTTTAAATCATCCGCACTTCCTGGCAGCTATTTTGCGTGGCTGCTACGGAAGCGCGTCAAATGGCTGGAAAAAAATAGAGTAAAAGAAGCAAGCACTAAGTGCACAAAGAAGAGTAGCATTGAAAATTAATTATATATCCCTTTCACTTAGCTGCATAGCTTACAAGGCGATTTATGTCTACATTCGCGTGAAAACCATAGAGTACTTGCAGGTGCTATACCAGAAATATAATTAAAATATGTGCCAAATGCTCGACTGAAGTTTTCCAGACCCCAATTCGTTTCTTGATACTGCCTACACTAATATCAATGGCAAACTACCATGCTGGTGTAACGGGTTTGTGAGAAATCTGAACCCAGCTTTTCGCACCGCAAAAATAAACTAGATGTTGCGGAAAGCTCAAACTCCGTCAGAACGTACCAGCCCTAGCTGTTCGAGCAAGAGACCAAAGTTTCAGCACCAACCCTTAAAGGGCAACTCCGCTTCTTTTCCAGTAGTGCAAAACTATACACTTCTCTTTGTTATCATCTACAAAACCCCCATGGCAAATATTACGACGGAATTCCACCTAGAAGTTCATTAAACTCGCTGTCAAAGTTTGACAAGCACGAATCCGCTGGTTTTGAATGAGACGTGCGGGCCAGACCACACTGCCCGGCTGCATTTCCGCTTCCTCCAAATTCCTTCTCCCGGCACGTCCGTGACGTCATCAAGCATGTACAGCTTCTTTTTTTTTTTTTCAGTTTTGTTTTCTTTCCCGGGGAGAGCACGGGTGGCGCCAGCGCCGTGAGAGACGTGAGTGACGCGCGGCCCGGCGACTGATAGGCCCATCGCCTCGTTGAGCGCGGCTAAAGGAGGAGAGGGAAGCTGCTTTTGTAAGAATTTTGAGGGACAGGTTCATCTTCTATAATCTTCTGGGAGGAGAATAGCGACGCCTGTGCTAATCCAGGAGGCACAAAGGAGGATCCTGATAAGAGGGGAACTCCTTCTTTTCTTTGTATATCACGTGGGTGTACATGCTTAGTGATGCCGAATATACAATGTTGTCCGGCTTTGCCACCGTTTCGGTTTCGGTTTGTGATCATAGCTAGAGTAAAATTACACGAAAAATATTTTATTTTTCGCGAAACAAAGAATTGGGGATTGTTTTTGAGTGCTTAAAAAGCAAAATCGGACACTATCTCAAAATTTTTGAAATTAAGCGGAGTTGCCCTTTAACTTAATCAAAAGTTATAAGTGATTTTTTGAAATTTTCAACGGAAAACTGGGGTCCGTTTTCGGTTTCTGGCGCCATAGAGATCCATGTATTCAAGAGCTCCGTCGGCTGCCATTTTTCCATTAAAATGTTAAGAAAACCGCTTATAACTTTTAAATAAAACAACGGTTGGTGCTGAAACTTTGGCATCTTGCTTGAACGGCTGGAGCTCCCCGCAGTGTCTAGTTTATTTTTGCAGAGTTAAAAGCCGGGTTCAGATTTCTCACTAACACCCGGTATATCTGGGAGGAACTGATTGACTGACGAATGATCCAAACCCCAAACCGTAGTCTATAAATTATTGTCTCATTCACCCACAGAAACCTTTATTTTTATGACCAGGACTTTTGCTTTGGCAATTACTAATATAACGAAAAACTTGTCTCGTGCTAGGTCCTATGTTCGGCATCCACATTGTCTTTGAGCATAATGGCAATATCCTAGGTTTATTTTTATCTCCTAGTGGCTCGTTTTAAAAAGATACTTCAACGAAATTTGAAATATTCCCGTCATGTTCAAAAATAGGTTGGACATGATCCACAATATCCGTAAATGACAATCACACGTTTGTATTTGGAGCCTGGTGGCTGTATTTTTCGTTATAAACGGCCCACTCTGGCAAGTGCTCGGAGAAGGCCCAGCGGAGACCACGTGACATCCAACGCAATCGTGACGTAGGTCGTCTCGGGACGAGCAAAGCTACGGCGAGGCTGACATCGAGAGGATGGCCTAGTCGTTCCAGCGACCGAAGCGGCTGCTTTTGTACGAATTTTGAGTGACGGGTTAATCTTCTATAATCTTCTAGGGGGACAATAGCGACTTCTGCAACACACAAAAGGCATTCTCGGGAAGAGGGGAGTTCCTCCTGCCCCTCTTCTCTCGTCATGGCCGGAGGCGAGACAACCTCCGTCACTAGCTCTCAAGGTTCCTAGACAAGCATTACAAGCCAGGCGTTAGCGACATCCACCAGGTGCTCTTTGCTAATCGTTTAATTCGTTTTAAAATTCCTTTTCGTGACTTTTTTAACAAGATATTGGTATGTTCGATGTGATGCTGCTCCCTTGAACACATATAGACCATAAAATGAGCGCCGAAATTTCGTTGTAGTATCCCTTTAAGCTTTGTGGAAAAAGAAAAAAATAAGTGCTTGAAATAACCTAAATAGGTATGCCTTAATCATTAGGATCATTCAAAGAAAATATTTTACTGTCCGGTCAACTAAAAAATGAAAGCCGTTTACAACTCCCTGTAACGCCGAATTAGAGCGCAGCTTTGAGGAGGAGGACGGAAGGGTACTAGGGGTCACGTGTTCTCGGGGGGGAAGGGGTCACGTAACCTCGGGGGTGGGGGGGTCACGTGACCCCCCTCCTTGAGGTCATCGAAGGTACCCAAGGTCCTCCCGAAGAAACCCGAGCACCTCTCGAGGTCCTCTCGAAGGAACCCGAGGTCCTCTGAGGTCCTCCCAAAGGAACCCGAGGTTTTCTTGAAGGAACCTAATGTTCTCCCGAGGTCCTCCCGAAGGAACCCGAGGTCCTTCAAAAGTATCTCGGGTTCCTTCGGGGAAATTTACCCATAATGCATTGCGCGGTTACGCCGATGCCGCTCAAGCCAAAAGGGGGCGCCTAAGAGCTGCACTCTAAAACATTCATTCATTCCTCCCCGAATACCCGAGCATAATGAATTGCCCGGCTCTAATTTTAGTGGGAAAGAGTGGAGTAAGGGGACGGTGAGAGGAGTGGGACGGTCAACATATTTCTTCAGTGAATAGTTCCAAAACATTAACGAACTGCTAGATAGACGCCGTGGTAGCAGTACTGCGTACCTGCTTAGCGTGGTATACATGATTTGAGTCAGTGGTTGCCACTTTGACACTAAAAAGTATGTAGCACACATTCGTTTTGCCCTACTCGTGAAAAAAAAAATGGCTGGGCCAACGGCTGTTGTAAACAGGCATTGAAAAGATGTGTTAATAGGTTGCTTTTGACAACCGCTATTTTAAGCTTAACATCTCACCTGTTGCCACAACTGGCAACTTACCATGTGCAAGCAAGGAGGATACAAGGGTAGGAGAGGGCAGGACACCAGCCGCATAGCCTCCACAAGCCATGCTCCCTTGACGCCGCGCCTCTTTCTCATTTTCCTCCTTACTCTCCTCACTTGTCCAGCCCAACGTGACCATATCACGTGACCGTAGCTAGCCTTCGTCTAGCTATGGTGTACTAGAATACACCACAGTCTAGACTTTGATCTGATAAAACCCACCGGACGGAGCGCGCGCAAGCCTGCAAGGAGTCCTTGTGCAATCAACCATCCATCTCACACGTGACATGTCACGCGCACCAATTGCCAGAGAGATCTACGGTCATGTTGGCCACAACATCGTTTAAACTTTTTATGAGTAGGCTTCACCAATATTGCAACGTGCCCCTCCTAGACCTTATAACCTCCTTGTGTGCAAGGCAGTTTGGGAGGAATGGGACAGTGAGATGGTGGGATGAATGGGACAGCATCTCAGTCCTCCCTTTATAATGATTGCTGCTGCTGACTGGTAAATCAACACTAAGGTTAACCTGTAATACTAGTGAATCATGCGATTTTAGTTCATACTCAATTTAAGCCACCAATTATTTGTTTTGTGTAAAATGTTACCACACTCTTAATCCCCAGTACCACAGACAATCAGAGGAAAAAAGACGACTGCAATCAGATTTCATGTTTGGTGAAGACCCGTCTGCCAATAATATTCTCTAGTAAAATTTCTAGCGCAATCTTCCATGTGTCCCATTCCTCCCTGGGGGGAGGGTGGAATGAAACACATTCTTGTTCTTGTTTTTTTTTTTTTTTACATTTTTAGAAGATTTCAGACAAAGTGCTGTTCCTCTGATTAGAAGGGTCTTCATGCTACATTAAGCTTGTTTCTATCTTCCCATTCTACCCCAGTCTTCCCTACAACTAACCTAAAGTCTCGTATTTTAGTCCAGAATGCGCGACAAAAAAATGCAGAACAAGTGAACGGTCGCTAACGGTGGCACACATTGCACGACACGACGAGCACAAACACAACATTAACACTTTTTTGCATTACACTAATACGGTTGGAAAGCAACATCAAATTTCACAGTTCAAATTAGTGCCCGACCTGCACACATTCCATTAAATTAGTACCGTTGACAAAAGCCTTCGCATGAAAAAAAAAGAAAAATGCAAACTTACGCTGCAATGCGTAAAGAATGAACATGTAAGAACTAGCGAGGCAGCACCCTAGAAATCTCACGTACACAGGGTGGTCTATCCGACCACCACAAGGTAGCACCACCACCATCTACAAGATGTCTCCGACCGCCGTCGTAAAAGAATTATTATACATAAGCCAAGGGTCTCACAAAGGTGTCTCTAGGTGGTACATTTATCATACTCAAATATCGTGAGCATGGAGGTAGGAAGCTTCTGGAGGCGACATGACGCCACCAGAGGTGAAGCCGGGGGGAGGTTTCCGGTTTGGAGGACCCACCCCCAACAATGACCAAAACCAAAAGATGCTATTGGATGGGAAGGACAGCAGATTTGGCGCCAACAGCTCCTTTGTGCTTTTTTGGTCATCCTCGAAGGCGTTCCCACCTCTACTTCCGGCTTCACCTTGGAATTTTCTCGTTTGGCTGGCTCGTGCCATTCTGTCGCCTCGTCTTCTTCCTACGTCCATGGTCGTGAGTAGGTTTCTAAGAAATAAATGCAAGAAAACTTGCTTTTCTCCTAAGCACAGGAGGAAAATAGAAGCTAACCGTCCGGCTGACGCTGCTACTCACATCTGGCACAAGATGGTACCTCGCTTCTTAGAGCTGAACACCCTAGAGCAGATCCGGGCGTGTGTGGTTTGACATCAGAGCGTCAACCAGACGGTTTGTTTCCTCTTACTCCCGTTGCATAGCAGATATTGAGTTTTTTTTTCCTCACATTTCTTTCAAAAAGCTTACCATCGCAAAATTTGAGCTTGATAAACCTAAGCACATCTCTGTGAAAAGTATCATTGCACTCCGTTCATTGGCTTACTTATATACTAGATTTTTTTTGCGTCCGAAACGCGCTCGACAACACACTAAAGAGACTCGTCACCGACAGTAGCACTTGGACCGGGAACATCATGTCTAGTATAAAATGAATGCGTTCAAGTCCTATCTAACGCAAAGGCGAAAGGCGAATGAACGAAGCAGTATGGCATGGAGGACGACTCACCAGGATGGCCCTGAACACCGTGGCCGAGAGTCCTTCGGCAACCTCGTACTCTCCCCGCTCGTTGGGCCTTGTGATGTTGTTCTCCAGCGAGGAGCCAAACATCCTGGCCAATCAAAGGGAGGCGAGTCAGTGAAGACGGACTAGCAAACAGGAACGGCACGACACAGATTTTGTATAGACACTTTGAAGCAGCTGTGCATAGGTGCCGCCATAACCGACCTTCCGTTTTTATTTCCTCTCATTCACTCCATCATTACCCCAGCAGGGCAGGTTAGTGCCTCTATTGTGTCCTTTTCCTCAGAATTGGCCTTTCTGAAGGCTCGTCAACAGCTTGGCATCTGGGAAAGACGAGAGAAAGTCAGCGATGGTAGCAGTAACCTGGCACGTCTGCAAAGCATCTAGAGATCAGACCTCCCGATAATTTTAGGAAAATAGCTTTCTTAGACACATAGGCGGAAAAATTGGGTAATATTAAATTTAAACACTTGATTGTGTAAGTTCTCTTTGTAACTGATATTTATTTTGTGCATACACAAAATATCTCCGAAAAGGGCAATTCCGCAAGAAGAAGTACACTGAGGCAAAGTTGTTAGTCTGCCATTTTGTCACATTCCATCTTTTGTTCGTTCGTTTTTGTAAGTTCAAGCTGACGCTTGGGCAAGGGTTTAAAGACGCAGGAAGAGAAGCAAAGGCGAGGCGGTGCCACCCACCGGCCCAGCATGGTATCCGGCTGCATCGAGAAGAGGGCGGGGTCCACCACGAAGCGGGTGCTGTCCACGATCAGGGTGACGCGCTCGTCCGAGCAGGCAGCGTTGGCAGAGGGTGCCACGCTGCCGCCATCTCCGTACGAGGACGTCATGGTTCCCAAGAAATTGGTGGCGCCTCCCGCGGGATGGTGACACGGTGTGCAGTTGCTCTCGGTGGAGCTCGATCCCCCGGAAGAGCTGCCGTTTCCCTGGTCCGTCAGTTGGCTGCGGCGGGACCTGCAACGACGCACCGGGACAATCCTATCAACCAAAGAAAAACGAGCACGTACAACGAGAGACAGTGCTGGTGTACCTTTAGAAAAAAAAAAAAAAAAAGAAATGTGCCCGCGTTGGTACCTCATTTTATGCATTTATTCTTTCTTTCACTAAAATTAAATTGAACAACTATGTTGAATATTGTAAGGCAAAATTTAACTGCCTCTCCGTGATGTGCAAGTGGCACTTGTATCTTAAATTTGGTTTTGTTTATGCAGATTATTATGAGATCCAACTAGTCCTTAACACAGCTACAGAAAGGGCTGTACGCGAGAATTTAACATAAAAAATGACAAACCAGCGTTATGGACCTCGCATTAAAAAAAACAATCCACGGGCAGAAATGTGAAAATGCAAATTTCTAAGTCAAGGCCAACAAAAACGTTTCTCCCAACGTGAAAGAGACGACAGCCTGTGGGACTGAAATCCCCTCTAGATGATGCAAGAAAATATATTGAATTGGAACTTCCAATCTTAAAGTTAGATTGCTAACTTTAAGCTTTTAACAATGAAAATAAAGTGAACGACGAATAACGTGCAGTACCATCCGAGAGGCGCCCCACTCCCGAAAGATAACCCGCCCCCCTGTTTGGCACGATTTGTTATTTTTCCGAAAACACCGAAAGATAGCCCACTCCTAGTAATTGTAGGGCCCTGGCCAATGAACCTGGGTAGAAATGGTGGTACTTAGCCACAGTGGGAAATAAGGGAACATTGCTGACTGGGAACGACAGCTGCCTTTAATTCCTTGCGATTACAAGTTTTGCAGGCCGTAAAATCTAAAACTAGAATTTTTTAAACTTTGTTTTTATCGCACATTGAAAGTTAGCTGACTATATTTCCACCTGATTTGCTTTCAATTTTAGGTGGGCTATTTCTCAGGATATTGCAGTAGGTAATTTAACTGTCCCAGTATAACTGTTCAGTAGATCAAGAATCTAATCATTACAAGTTGATCAGTCCATGCACATGACAGAAATATAAATACCCCTGCTCCAATTAACTCGCCCAGAATATTGGTACACAGAATTCATCAGTTTTGGAAAGCCATTTATTAATTTTATGGGTCGGATTGACGTAAACTTAATATCTTTGATCTTAGAGTTACGTCAATGTGCAAAAAGAAGGGTTTTCTTCTCTAGCTGGTAGGGACGTCTCATTGAAATATACATAAACCTCATAGAGTTTCACCCAAACTTTGTCCACATGCTCAACTGTAGCACTGTTTTAGCACACAATTTCCTGCTAGCAAAAAGAAGAAAAAGTCAAAACATAAACAAAGGTTAAAAGTACAAATATGTTGGTTTAGCCCCGTGTTTCCTTTCTGCCATCACTTCGGTGTTTGTTTCTGTCATCCCTCCCACAGCTTTTTTTTTTTTTTTTCCTTTCGTAACACACACACAAAAAAAAGTAAAACACACCTGGCTGAGTACACAGAGAAACCGTACAAATAGAAAAGACTAACTTTCGCCACTGAGGAAGTGGCCCCTAAATCGAACCTCTCTCTCTCCCATTCAATCTCTCATCCTTTCCAGCTCCCCTACATCGCAAACACACTCATACCAAAAAAAAAAAAAGGATTTCTAGCGCCATCTGGTGGTGGCATCGCATAACAAAACACACAGATAATAGGCAAACCAAGAAAAAAAAAAAAAAGAACAGCCTCACTGATGTAGCGGCTAAATGACGGCCCGCCGCCATCCCCTCCGGCTTACAATAACGTTTAGGGATCGAGGGACCAAGAGAACCGCGAGGACGCTACAGCCCATATGACGGCCGATCTAGGGTGCCTAGATTTGAGAGAGGGAGCAACTCAAACCATCGGGGGGCGTTCGCCATGTCATGGCAGACGCCTCCTGCGCCGATTGGTCGCAGCTGCGCATGCGCCGCGTTGTCGGGTGGCGAAGAGGATAGCGGTCGGAAACGCTGAAACGCTTGCAGACAAACCACGTGACCCTGAACGAGAAGTTGGAAACTCCCGAATATAGGCTCTCAGGCCTACCCAACAGCCGCAGCGGCCACACGCGACCCCGAGAAACTCGGAAAACAAAACCAGAAGGAAGAAAAGTGAAAGACCCTAATGAACCCGCCTCCCTACCAAAAAAAAAAAAGAAGGACAAAAAAAAAAAAAAAGAAAAGAGAGAGAGAAGAAGAATAGATACCCGTTGAAGTATGGAAATTAAGCCAGCGGGAGCGCGGAGCATACTAATTCAATTTACCGAGCAGACGATGGACGAAATAGGCGCGAAAAAAGCATTGCAGACGACGTTAGTTGTCGCGTGCTTGCCCTTTTCCTTAGTGAGCGGAGCGTGTGGGGGCTCCGGTAATCGAAAATTAAAGCCTCCAACGTGATCAGACGTTTTGGGCAAAAGTGAAGCTCGTGTTGACGGCAGCCCGAGGGCAACGACAACGGCTGTCGATTCAGGGACGCCAAGGAAGTTCAAACCGGGAGACGTGCTTTCACGCACTCCGAAACAAGCAAGAAGCGGTTCGCGCAAAATGGTCAAATATCCGAAACTCGTTTTACGGTGCTACAATTTTCGTACTTTGGTCAATTAATTGGGGGAATTAGTCCGTGCCACCCACAGAATGAATAGAAAATATTATTTGCTTGCTTGCGCTACTTTTTATTTAAAAAAAAAGAAGAAAAATGAAACAAGTCCAAGCTCAACAAACCAATAAAAACACAAAAGGAGCAGGCCAGTTTTTTTTTAAATTAAGAAGTACCCCTTAACTATAAAAAAAAAAAATTAAAAAAAAATGGTTGCATGTTTGGTCATTCCAACAAACGCATTTAAATACGGTACCTTTACAGGGCCATCATTGGCGAAACTTCTTTTGAAACGAGATAAAATTTTATTGAAATACTTTTAATATTCCACAAACCACTGAACTTTAGGAATGTAAAAGCTCGTTCACGTACTTGTAACCGAGTGCGACTGAGAGAGACAAGGCCGGTTTTTAGGCATCTAATTACGATCTCTTAGGACCAGGTCCGCTGCAGCGCATCCAGTCCTAAAACATCGCAAGAGGGTTAAAAACCGGTCTTGTCTCTCGGTCGTACTCGCTTGCAACTATGTGAACCAGCCTTTAGCGCTCATTCACACTGGAAGCGGATCCGCGTTCGCAAAGCGGTTGCGAACGCGGTTGTATAAAGATCCAGTACAATTGCACGCGCACTTGATGTCATCGAGTGCGCGTGCAATTGCCCTGGATCTTTATACAGCCGCGTTCGCAACCGCTTTGCGAACGCGGATCCGCTTCCAGTGTGAATGAGCGGTTACTGTGGTGATTAAGCAATTTCACCGCACGCAAACGCAGTGTGGCGATCGTTGGTGGCACTGCACTGGTTGTTGTCACTGTTTTTGTTGCTCTTGATGAACTTGCCGCTCTCATCTGATTTGGACCTTATACAGAGCAACGGTTTATGTACCGAAAAGTACACCACGAAGTCCATGCAACGTAGTCCGGGAACGCGTCGCGCGAAGACGCAATCGATGGTGCTGCCGTCGCGGGTGGTAGGGATCACGGTCGGGATTGTGTCACTGATCACGAGGTGTAACCCGAACGCGCACGAGGTAGATGAGCCGCGGATTGCGTTGCACGTGCACGCTAAAGTCTCCGGCGACGATCATGGGCGTTGTGTCACAGTCGGCCTCTTCCATGCATTCGAACGCTTTCACCAGCGGCGTATAACTGACAAAGCGCATAAAAAAAAAAAAAAAAAGCCTTTCCATTTTAGCGAAAAAGGAAGGCCAGCAAAGCTGACCTCTGGTGGAAATGAAGCAAATGGCCGTCCGCAAGTCGACAAGCCAGAGTGGAAAGGCTGGAAAGGTTGCCGCCATTAATGAGCGACGGCGGCTACCAAACAACCGGTAAGCCGATTGTCTGGTTGCCGACTTTGCTAATAGATGGCGTAGCTGTCCAGAGTTTTTTGTCCAGATTTGTTTGCCCACAGACACGATACTGGGGAACGTAGGCCCATCACAGCTCCACTGTAAAAGCGTTTCAAGTTCACTTTGGTTGTCTTCGGCGCAGTGTGGACGATGGTGATACGTGTGCGTCGCAAATGGTTCTCCACACGGCGCAGACGGCGCCGCAGTCGGAGTAGGGGGTCGCGTTGGGAGTGGCGGTGCTGGTACCGACAACAATTTCCCACTCCGACCGCTCAACAAGCTGCGTGAGGCCCCTCTGGCACACGCGAATCTCGCTGAATTTTCTGGGTCACCAAGAGAGGAGAAGCGCACTTTGGTTCCTTTTCCACTCCTCTTCGTTGTTCAGCGCCCTCTCTCTACAGCACCTGTTTATGCTCCTCTCTTTCTTGCGTTTTCCACAGACTCTCTGTTCCGCGCGCTTTCTCAGATCAGTCCCGTTCTTGCGTGCTGAGTCCGTAGCTCTGTCAACAGCACCCTCGGCTTCGACGCCGGTGACCAAGGGTCAATCGCTGACACCGGCTGCCGTTTCTTTTTCTTTCTCTTTTTTTTATTTTTTTTTCTCAATATCGTTTGGCGGTTACGAATTGACCGACCTACACATTTCGTGCTAACGCGGATCTTGAGGTTGGTTGGCCCTGCAAAGCTACCACTTTAAAAAGGCGTTTTTCCTTCGCGATTACGCAGCCAAATCGCAGTAAATTGGGGGATACATGGAGCGTAAAAAAAGATACAAGGTAAAAACTTTGTTGACGCTAAAATCGTTGCACTGTCCGTTGAATGGCAATACTGATGGAGTTAAGCCCTTGACAGGACAGCGTTACTGCAGGTTTTCCCGCTCATTTTAGTCCAAACGACGGTCAATTTAATCTACTAAGTGCCATCCCATTTAACTGAAGCGCCATTCAATTTAATCTACAAAGTGCTGCCCAGTTTAATCCCGGGGTCAGTCAATTTTATGATATAGTAGTTGTTTATACAATTAGACTTTTTTTGGGGACAACATCGATATTTTGATTACTATTTCGA